TTTGCATTTGTTGAGGATATCTCAAAATGTGGTGTTAGTCAAAGTGGCTCTGAAGCACTAGAGCCTTATGTTGATCTCAGCCAGCAAGAGCAAGAGTCAGAGTAAGAGGAAAGAAGGAGGATCTGATGCATAATAGATTGGATTTGTGTCCAAAGTCTAAATTGATGAATGTTTGGGGGAGGGGTGTAACCATGGTGCATTGCTGGCCGTGGTTGTAGAGCTCTATTCAGGCTGAAATGCAGTGGAGCAAATTGCTGGCTGTGAGAGCCCTTCCAGTGGGGGGTTGTGTCTTGTAGAGATGGGTGGGTCAAAGGTTGTCAGTGTGGTTTTAACAACTGCACAGCTAGAGAATCTGCTCACCGTTATTTGAATGTGTAAATGAATGAGCTTGTCCAAGGAAAGGTTGGACTGCAGCCACAGTGACCTTTAGGTGGATGGTCAATCGTGTGAGTCGACGATCCTGCTTGTGTTTGCATATTGGCTACCAGTAAAACCTCTTAATCCATCTATCTGTCTATCCACCAATCCATCCATTCACTAATCCATCCATCGATTCATCCATCCGCCCACCCACCCAACCATCTATCCACCCATCTATGATCTACCTCTTATTTATCCGTAAATAACACATGTTGAATGTTGTTCTCCTTCATTACAGTCCCTACCCAGTGACTCATCCATCAGATAGTTTCAAATGACATTACGTAAGATTCAGTTTGACAACATTCATGCAAGGGAGTGTTTGTGTGTGTCCTAGGATTGGCTAGGTTTTAGTGGTCTGACATGGAGAAGAACACATGTCCAACGCTTAATTCAATGATGATAATCACCAAGAGAGCAAACTCCAGCTGTAAATAACAATCTTCCTGCATATTCTTTTATATCCTAGATTATTCTGTAATTCTCTGCCCCTTTAATATGACATCAATTATGTTGTGGATTTGTTTTACAACTTTGGGTGGTAATGGTGTGATTAAAATTGGCTGTAGTCCAGAAATAAAATGCTCTGCTGAGGTGAAGGTTGTTTTTATGATTTTATTATGATTAACAGAAGTGTGTTTGTTTATACTCAAGCACACCACTAAACTATTGTGGAAAGAACAAATCACTGTATTTAAATTTTGCAAAAGTGAGACCTTTGACAATCACTGATGCATCATACTGAAATATTAGAAAATAATAATCTTATTAATTTTTCCATGTGGTATCAGTATGCCTCACTGCCTCTGTGTATCACACTAGAAGAATACCCTTAATTCCCCAGTGTTTTATTTTTAGACCACAACTCTTTTTTTTAATCACCTCAAAACCCAAATAGTTGTGCAATTTAAATTTTCCATGGGGTGGCGGGTATATTGTCATATTCAGCTGGATCTTGTGTCTACACTGAAGTAAATATGAGCTGGAGCCAATGAAAACACTGCACTGCGGGAGGAGAAAATTCAGAGTAAATCAACACAGACGTAAAACCAAAAGGTAGAAATTTTAGTTTTTGTATTTTTTTAAGAATTAAGATGTACTTCGTTCTAAGGATGGATTGAATGTGCTCAGATCTTCTCACGGCGATGATGATGGCTTACACAGAGCTAATGTGTGTGAGTGTGTGTATCCTGTTTGACTTGGATATGCCTTCACTTAAGTCTACTCTCCTCTGTATTAGACCTACTTGTGTTCTCTAATAAAGGCCATGTTTAGCTTTCTGTCTCCTCCTTATCTTCCACCATTGCAGCACAGCTTGGATTTCCATGGGTTTCTCATCAGTGCCGTATAGAAACACAGACGTTTCGATATACAGCCGGTAATGGTGGTCTCACAATCTAAATAATGGAGTAGAACAGAGACCCAGTCACTCTGGTTGTAACTGTGTGCTGTGCAGTCTCAGACAGTGATACAGTGTCAGGCTCAGACTGGGCTGCATGTGGTCAGCTGACTGCTCGCTCACTTGCTGGGGTGCGTCACATTCTCCATAATCATCTGCGGAATGTCGTCTTTTACATCCCTTCCTCCCCCCAACGTGTTTTCTGTTTCTTTCCTGGGCCTCAGCTCAGTGTCAGTGTCTCCTTTGCTCCATTTCAACTCATTAATTTCCCGGTCTTCCACTCGAATCACAAGGCGTCCTCATTGTTTGTCTGTGCTTAGGAGGACACCTTTTGACATTGATGTTTTCCAGCGTCTGCAGGGCCTGTAATCATTACTGCATGATGCTTAGGTCATTGAGTGTATGTGAGGAGTGTGTGTTTGCTTAAGGAGCAGCCTGTAGGAGAAGAGAATCATGAGAACACTGTTGAGTATTTTTTCTTATATTTGTGTGATTGATGATGAGCAGACAAACATATGAACTGTGGTTCATATAAAAAAGCATCCTTACAAATTCTAATATGTATATGTGTATATATATATATATATAT